AATAAATATAATAAAGGGTATTTTAGTAATTTAATGTGTATGTCGAGCCGCTCGACAAGACAAAATATGAGCTCGAGTTTGACTCAAGTTCGTGCTCGAGCCGCTCAAACTTGACTCGAGTTCGATCAAACTTGAGCTCGAGTCCAACTTTGACGAGCGCTCGCGAAGCCAGCCCTACTCCCAACACACGCACCTCAACTCTATATAATGCGAATGCGGGGTGTGATTTGTTCCTTCTTACTTATCACCAGTTTTGCAGAAATTCAGTCTTCCATCGAACAAAATCTTCAATCTTTACAGAGGTCGAAATGGCGGAGCAGAGCCACAAGCACTCCCAGTTCAAAGGCCAGCCGCGACTCCCCAAATTCGCCGTTCCCAAGCGCTACGATCTCAAGCTCAAACCCGATCTAACCGCCTGTAAATTCTCCGGCGCCGTTCAAATATCCGTCGACGTCGTTTCGGACACCAAGTTCCTCGTCCTCAACGCCGCCGAGCTCGCCGTCGATCCTAAATCCGTCACTTTCACATCCAGTGATAAGGTACTGGCTCAGGCGGCGTCCTCTGGGTTCTTTTTTCTTTTCTATTTTCGTTATGGTTGGCTCGAAAAGTCATTGATTTGAATGACAGACTTGTAAAGATTGAATATTTTTCGTCAGTTATTGCTTGTTGAGAGAACAATCGATTTCATTCGAGAAAGGATAATATTAATTGAATATGCTTGTAAAATCACGTATTATATCCTATTGAGGTATCTTTGATTTGTGTAGTCATAATTATTTTGAAACAGTGATATTAAGATCAATGTTGTGATCATGAAAAAAGAAATAAATGAGATCCACTGTATCTTGACTTGTGATCCGCAATAATGTGCCATTTGTCTCGCATTCTGATTTTGATCCTTGGAAGGAATCTGGTAGTAATTTAGCAAAAATATTGATGTTTCACGCATTGATTTATATTTTATCCTGGCTGTTTTCAGGTTTTGGAATCAGTAGAGGTAGAATTGTTTGAGGATGATGAGATTGTTGTGTTGGAATTCAAGGAAAATTTACCAGTTGGTGTAGGTGTTTTGAACATCGACTTTGAGGGGACTCTAAATGATAGAATGAAAGGCTTCTACAGAAGGTGATTTATCTACTTTATTTATGTACTTCGAATCGCTGTTTTGACTTACATTAGTTGTTATTGCTGTTTACTTGTGTTACCGGATATACTTATTTTGGCTAATTGGGAATCCGGATTAATGTTCCTTTATGATAGATAAACCTTGTGTTGGAATTATTAATCCATTGGATCCAATACTGCTTTAATATGTACATCATGCATAACATGTCTCAGCGACTTGGAATTCATAAGAACATAGCTGAAGCAGTGGATTTTATCTCTTCCAGAAGTAATTTTGGATGATGTTCAGCATTTTAAAATGTAGGAACAGTGTCATTTGTTGTGTTTTAGGAACATAATAATTGAAACTTGTATAGGAACGGTGAAATTGCTTTCTCTCTATAATGTAGGTTCCATTAATTAATTATCAGTTTTTGTTGTCCTAAATGTTTTAATCCCTTAATTCAGCACTTATGAACACAACGGCGAGAAGAAAAACATGGCTGTGACTCAGTTCGAGCCGGCTGATGCTAGGCGGTGCTTCCCCTGTTGGGATGAGCCTGCTTGCAAGGTACTTATTGCAGCTTCTTATCCTAGTCCCTGCTAACCTCGATTTTCTGTTATTTCTGTTTTTTCAATGATGAAAACTGTTGAAGCTTATAGCAAATTCAAATATATAATAATTTTGGGTGGTGCATGTGCTAGCTATTTCCAATTTAATCTAGAAGTTACTCTCTGACATTTATCACACCTCCAATTTCAGGCGACATTCAAGATTACATTAGAGGTACCATCTGAGCTGGTAGCACTTTCCAACATGCCAGTCATAGAAGAGAAAATGAATGGGAATCTAAAGACAGTTTACTATAAAGAATCACCAATCATGTCCACTTACCTGGTGGCAGTTGTAGTCGGGCTGTTCGATTATGTTGAGGACCATACTCCTGATGGTATGTTTGTGTATTACCATTCTATCTCACGATTAGGTTATCATTGTTGAGACTAATATTTGCCTTCATGATCTGTGTTTTTGCAGGAGTCGTTGTCCGTGTATATTGTCAGGTTGGCAAGGTTAGTCAAGGGAAGTTTGCCCTAGATGTAGCTGTCAAAACACTTGGCCTTTATAAAGAGTAAGCTACCTGTGAAATTATTATATTTGCTTAAATTAGCATATTTTTTAAGGCCTGTTGCAGATGTGAGTTTATTGACAAAAGAACATTACTTAATTAAAAAACATCAGGTACTTTGAAGTGCCATATTCTCTTCCTAAGTTGGACATGATTGCCATTCCTGATTTTGCTGCTGGGGCCATGGAGAATTATGGTCTTGTTACATACCGAGAAACAGCTTTGCTTTATGATGATAAGCACTCGGCGGCTGCTAATAAACAGAGGGTAATATAAATTTTCTTGAAAATATGAAATTACTTGGATTCAGTTGATAGATTGTGTATCTATTTTTCTTGTACATCAACATATGGTTATTGAGCTTATTAGGTAGGAAACACATATTTTTATGGCCTATTAGAACATGGGATTTATTTTACTGATTATACTGCTCATCTTCTATGTAGGTTGCTGTTGTTGTAGCCCATGAGCTGGCACACCAGTGGTTCGGAAATCTTGTGACCATGGAATGGTGGACTCATTTATGGTTGAATGAGGGATTTGCCACATGGGTACTGTGTAGCATTCAAGTTTTTTTACCTTGTATTTTTAAGCATTAGGTACCCGTATACCTTCACTGACACACGGTTCCTTTTTTTTTTCACTAATCAGGTGGCCTATTTAGCTGCTGATAGCTTGTTTCCAGATTGGCAGATTTGGACTCAATTTCTCGATGAAAGTACTGCTGGGCTTCGACTGGATGCTCTTGAAGGATCTCACCCCATAGAGGTAAACGGCTTGTTTTTGACAAATAACAATTAAGAATGTGCAGAATGTTAATTTTTTCCCCTAATAAATGCTCATTTTTCCGGTCTGCTATCTCGTTTTCAGGTGGAAATCAATCATGCTGGTGAAATTGATGAAATTTTTGACGCAATAAGTTATAGGAAGGGAGCATCTGTCATCCGGATGCTTCAGAGTTATCTTGGGCCTGAATGTTTCCAGGTGGCCCATTTTTTTCTTTATAGATCAATTTGATTTACGTTTATATTAATCTGTCTACAAGTAACTTCATTATATCATTGATGTTTCCTCTTTACGTATTTGTTGTGTTCCATTTTAAAAACATCTTCTAGAGGTCACTTGCTTCCTATATCAAAAGATACGCTTGCTCGAATGCGAAAACAGAAGATTTATGGTCAGTACTTGAGGAGGGATCTGGTGAGCCCGTGAGTAAACTGATGGACTCTTGGACCAAACAGAAAGGCTATCCTGTTGTGTCCGTGAAAATCAAAGACCAAAAGTTGGAGTTTGAACAGGTTATTCTTTTTAGCCAACATCCATAACTGAGATATGTTTTCTAAACAATGTTAGCTTTTCATTTTTCTTTCTTGTTATTCATTTTTTTTTCTTTACAGACACAATTTTTGTTGAGCGGTTTTCGAGGTGAAGGGCAATGGATTGTTCCAGTGACTCTGTGTTGTGGCTCTTATGACACTCGTAAACATTTCTTGCTGCAAACGGAAAGTGAGACTCTTGATATTAAAGAATTATTGTGTGGCTCAAATTCATCTGCCCGCCCTTGGATCAAAGTCAATGTGGGACAAACTGCTTTCTTTCGGGTAAAGTATGATGAAGAGCTATCGTCCAGACTCAGGGGTGCAATAGAGAAAAAGTCTTTGTCGATCAGTGATAAATATGGTGATCATGATTCTTTCTATTTTCTTTTTATATATTTTGTTGAAAGTTTGAGGGAATTTTAACATAAGTATATTTGTTCGTGCAGGAATTTTGGATGACTATTATTCATTGTCCATGGCATGCCAGCAATCTTTGAGCTCTTTGCTTGCATTGATGGGTGCTTTCAGAGAGGAGCTTGATTACACAGTTTTATCTAACTTGATCACTGTAATGTTCTCGAATTTTTATTAAAATTTATTTCTTTCTTTCCTATTCTATTTCAGGATTTAATTATTCCCGGTTTTAATTTTCTTGTTTTTGCAGATGTCTTTTAAAGTGGCAAGCATAGTGGCTGATGCTGCGCCTGATTTGCTAGCCGACTTGAAACTGTTTTTCATCAATCTTTTCCAGATTTCTGCCGAGTATTTTTTTCCCCTTCTGTTTTCCTCTTCCCCTTTTCTACGGAATATAGTACTCGTGTATGTCACATATATCATCTGTAATATTATTTCAAATTTTTTTTTTTTTTTTGAATCAGGAGGCTTGGATGGGACCCTAAGCAAGGGGAAAGCCACCTCGATGCCATGTTAAGGGGAGAGCTTTTATCAGCACTAGCTTCGTTTGGGCATCAACAGACACTAGACGAGGCCAATAGGCGGTTTCGTGTATTTTTGGATGATAGGAACACACCTGTTCTTCCTCCTGATTTGAGAAGGGTTATATTCTGAAACTTTTATTTTAATTTAATCAAATTTTATGGAACTCATGTGTATTTTATTGAGTATACCTTTGTTTCTCCCCAATATTTCAGGCAGTATATGTGGCCGTAATGCAGAATGTGAGTACAACAGACAGATTTGGCTATGAATCTCTTCTGAGGATTTACAGAGAAACTGACCTTAGCCAGGAGAAAACGAGAATATTAGGTATAATTTGTTTAAACTGTTAAATCTTAGAATAATCATCGTGACATATTCTGCAGTTATTTATGGGTTTCCTGATTTTCTCTTAGGCTCATTAGCTTCCTCTCGGGATCCTGAAATTACTCTCGAGTTTCTGAACTTCTTGCTATCATCTGAGGTACTTTTCATTTCTTGAGTGGGTCATTGAAATCTAAGCTACAACATAATTTCCACGCAGGGTTTTTTCTCATGTTTCTTTTTTCGGCTTTGTTATATAATGTAAAGGTTAGGAGCCAAGATGCTGTATATGGATTGAGTGTTAGTCGGGAAGCTCGTGAAATCACATGGACTTGGTTGAAAGTAAGTCCCTTTGATTTAAGACTTCTTGTTCGCTTGCAAAAATGCTCGAATTTATGTCAACCGATTTATTTTTATGTATCCTGCATACATTTTTTGATTGAAAGGATATGCTCGAATTTTGTGTAACACTATACTGATGGGTTGGGTTGTGCTTATTGCAGGAAAATTGGGACCACATCTCCAAGACTTATGGAGCTGGATTTCTGGTAACACGCTTTATTTCTGCCGTTGTGTCTCCGGTTAGTTCTTACAACTTTCAAGTTTATATATGAGTTTAAATACGACGAAAATAAATTGTTACATTGATATATTTATTCATTTGTTATTTTGATTCTGTAACAGTTTACTTCAGAAGAGATGGCTGAGGAAGTAGATCAGTTTTTCGCGAGCCGTATGAAGCCTTACATTGCGAGGACATTGAAACAGAGTATCGAGAGGGTCCAGATAAATGCGGCCTGGGTTAGAAGCATTCAGAACGAGGAAAATCTTGCCGAGGCCGTTAAGGAGCTAGCTCACAGAAAATACTAAAAAAAGAAAAAATCACTAATTTTCCTTCAATAAAATACTGAGTTGTTTCTGGATTTCTTGGTTTCAGGCTTTGTTTCAGGGAAGGGGAAAGAATGAAAAGGGAATAAATTGTGCACTTGGAACTGCTGTTACTCATGAATCATAAGTTGATGTGCTGTTTTGAATGTTGTTTGCACCAGAGTTTCAACCTTTTACATCTTAGAGATATAAATTATTTCTCATTTCATTCAAATAATTTTTTTTTTTTTTTTATCATTAAATTAAGGCTGGGTTTATTTATTTATTTATTTATTTTTATTTTTTGTTTTAAATCACTAATCATCTAATCTTACTTTAAAAAAAAAATATCACTAATTATCTAATTTGTTTTTGTGTCCTTAACTTTATTAGCACGTAACTCCATGGGCAATAATGACTAATTGGTATGATGCACGGGAAATAATGATTAATTGTATAACTTACAACAGTGAAAAAACGGGAAATAATGATTAATCGTATAACTTACAACAGTGAAAAAATATCGACTAGTATAAAAATGGTTTTAAAGATTTATATTGTTTTTTATTTTTCTCATATATAGTAATTTAATATGTAATTTATTTGTGTATTTTGACAAATTACACAATAGTTTTTGGTATGTTAACACTCTCAACTGACTGGAATCGGTCTGCTCTTGAGCTTTTTCGTCGGTTGAACGCTTTTAGACTTGTAAAAACTCTCATACTTGAAAATTTTTCCAGTGAAGAGTCTTTAAGGCTTAGATGAGTATGTTTAAGAAATGATTTGAAAAAATGTAGAGTATGACTGTGTTTCGTAGACAAATAAACTAGTTTATAGCTTACTTGGTTAGCTTAAAAGTTTCATGTATTCAAATAAGTTTCGTTTTGAAGGATGAACTTTTTTTAAAAAGCTCGAGTTTATCTTATAAGCTTCTTTGGGTATCTTTTCAAGTAAGCTCGTTGAAATTATTATTCCAGCTTGCTTATCAATTAATTTTACCAAAAACTTTTATCATATAAACTAGTTTTTCAGCTATAATCTATAAGTTCGAAAATCACTTATAAGCTAAAAGCTCGCTTATCAGGTAGTTTTATCAAACGTAGCCTATACGAATGTAATGAGCTAAAAACTCACATCTCACCTCTATTTGCATGGGTGCGGTACCATGATTACAGACTGTGAACCAATCAGGTAATGCCACGTGTAACACTAATTATGGCAAGATTCCTTTTTATCTCTTAATTCTTCGTATTCGACCACTTAATAGTGTGACCCACTCGAGGTCGGCCAAGGCAGAATATGAACTACCCTGGATCGTGTAGTTCTTTTTAGTCGATCACACGACATGCCATGCCTACAGGTCAGGTTTCTATCAGGCCACCCGAGGACCCTAGCTCGACTTGCTGCCCTGAACCCCTTATGTTGTTTTCCAGATCGAAGGCTCTTTGTCCTGAATCGATGATGTTTGACCACCACCGAACCTACTATAAATCCGGGTCGACCAAGCAGCTCGCCAGGCCTATTCGACCGGTTTATTCCCTTAAGTATGATATCCAATATCAATTGGAGCAACCTGAGTTTGCTAAAAGTAAAATGTGGTCGTTACACAGTTCTTCTTCGCCTTTACCCCTTGTGACCAATCAACCAATCGTGAATATTATGCTAAAATCCACAAATGAGGATTTGAAGACTTGGCCGCATAGGTGCGTAATCAGGATTTAGTTTGAATTTTGTTTGTCCTTGCGTGTTTTAGTGTTGTTTCATTTTGTTAGGAGAATATTGATTTCTTAGGGGGTGATTGTTTACAAAATAATTTACTCACTTTTATTTCAACTCAAAATCTAACTCAACTTTAACTCAACCCTACTATCTTTAATATTATTCATATAATTAAATAATACAAACCAATCATACTTATACATCACATCAACTTTAATTCACTATTCATCCACTCACATAATTTTAACTACCTATCACTTCCAATCATTTCCAATCATTTATCTCTTACTTTTACATCAAATCAATTTTAATTATTTTATTTTAAATATTATTTTAATAATTCTTAAAATTCCACTACAACTAACCATACCACATTATTCAAAATTAACTATAGTTAACCAAAATAACTCAATTTAAACAAATTATTTCATAAACAATCAAGCCCTTAACATTTATGTGTTTGGTTGATGAAAGAAACTTGCCTTTGGTTTGTAATAACTGTGTACATGTTGGTTTCTTTTCATACTAGAGATGAATTAGCCTTTTAGATTATTTGTCGTGTCTTTGTTTTCCATAATTCGTTGATTTTTTTACAAGCTAGACAATATTACAATGATGCTAGACCTCTGGACAACTCAAAGAGGTGTTAGCCATATGGACAGGTCTATCATAAATGTGTTAGACCTATAGATACCCATAGCTCATAGAGTGTTAAGCCCTTTAGATAGGTTATAAAGGTGTTAGACTTTTAGATAGCAAATAGCTTGAACAACTCATCGACTCATTGGTGTGAGAACGCTGGATAGGTCACAAAGGTCTGACACCTCTGGACAACTCATAGGTCATAGAGGTGTTAGACCTCTAGACTAGTCATTGAGGTGTTCGACCTCTGCACATGTCATAGAGGTGTTATATGAACGCACTATATAATAGATAAGAAAGAATATAATAAGATAAGAACAATATGTGGACTGGACCACGTTGCCTAAAACAATTGAGCAGTTCGGGCACCTGGGCAATATGAACGGACAGTTCGGACAGCTTAGCCGTGCAGTCTTGGCCAACAAGGTAACACTACTACGTAAAGTGGTGAAGTATGGTCACTCTCATTCTACACACTCTTATATACTTACACGCTATACTGTTATCACTATTCATCATCTTCTCCATATATTTTTTAGGATTTTTTTTCAAAGAACAAAAAACAAGAGAACCAAATCGGACATTTAACACGTTTCGCCCAGGACCATATGAAGTTCAGGATCGACTATGCTGAGGACATTCCTTTGTTGGCTAGAGTCCTTTGTTCTTGTTTGTTTGTGTTCCAAAGTGTTGTATGAGTTGTAGTGTTTCATTCAAGGCTTGTGGTTTGTAGGGTGGGTGCGATTCAAACCCTTTCTCCCTCATCCTACGTGTTATCAATATATTTAAATAATATCTTGTACAAAAAAAATATATATATATATTTAAATAATATAAATTTTTCATTTTTACACATCGTATCAACTTTATTTATTATTTATTAACTCACATAATTTTAGCTATTTATCACTTTCAATTATTTATCTCATATTTTTACATCAAATTAATTTTAATTATTTTATTTTAAATATTATTTTCCATACAAATTTAAAATTTCACTATGAACTAACCATGTCAATTTTTTATTTTTATTTTTTAAATTAATCATAAAAAAATCAACAAATACCTAACATATTTGTAAACAAGCAAGCCCGCGGTCTTCGATCGACAAAGAAAGGTACCTACTGCCTGGAGGACGGGCCACATGCAGCAGAGCGACGATCAGGAGCTTCAATCTTTACAGATGTGGAAATGGCCGAGCAGAGCCACAAGCACTCCCAGTTCAAAGGACAGCCGCGACTCCCCAAATTCGCTGTTCCCAAGAGCTACGATCTCAAGCTCAAACCCGATCTAACCGCCTGTAAATTCACCGGCGCCGTTCAAATCTCCGTCGATGTTATTTTGGACACGAAGTTCCTCGTCCTCAACGCAGCAGAGCTCGCCGTTGATTCTAAATCCGTCACTTACACATCCAGTGATGAGGTACTGGCTCAGGCGGCGTCCTCTGGGTTCGTTTTTCTTTTTCTATTTTTCGTTATGGTTGGCTCGAAAAGTCAGTGCTTAGAATGACAGAATTGTGAAGATATCTTTTTCTTCAGTTATTTGCTTGGTGAGAGAACAATCGATTTCATTTGGGAAAAGATAGCAGTCGTTGAATATTTTTGTAAAATCACATAAAGTATATCACACTGAGGTTTCTTTGATTTGCTTAGTCATAATTGTTTTGAAATAGTGATATGTCCCATATTGATTTTGTGAAGCTTTTGCTCTCTTGTATGCTTCATGGTGATCGAGTATGCATGACAACGTTTAAGGAAATAAAGTATATTCCTGTAAATTTCTTTAAACCAATCTTATTTGTTCTTTAGATGGGACCGTAACACCGAAGTTGTTATCGTACTTGATTGAGTTATATGAAAAAAAGAAACGAAAGAGATCCACTGTATCTTGACTTGTGATCCGCAATAGTGTGCCATTTGTCCCGCGTTCTGATTTTGATCCGAGTAAAGACTCTGGTAGTGTTTTAGCAAAAACATTGATGTTTCGCACATTGCTTTATATTTTTATCCTGGCTGTTTTCAGGTTTTGGAACCAGTAGAGGTAGAATTGTTTGAGGATGATGAGATTGTTGTGTTGGAATTCAAGGAAAATTTACCAGTTGGTGTAGGTGTTTTGAACATCGACTTTGAGGGGGCTCTAAATGATAGAATGAAAGGCTTCTACAGAAGGTGATTTATCTACTTTATTTATGTACTTATATCGCTGTTTTGACTTACATTAGTTGTTATTGCAGTTTACTTGTGTTACCATATATACTTATTTTGGCTAATTGGGCGTTAGAATTAATGTTCCTTTATGATAGATCAACCCTTGTGTTCTGTTGGAATTATTAATCCATTGGTTCCAATAC